TGGTTCTCGTAACCGGGCAGAGACGCTGATGTCATGGGGGTAATAATATTGTTGTCGGCATGAATATATACGGTCTTGATGTGATGTGAACTTTGCAAATGGTTCGCAAGAATACGAAAATGTGTCACACAAATTGGAATATAATTTACGCGTGTATGTAAGTGCAAGAGTCTGGAGGAAGCGATTAAAAAAAAAAAAAAAGCTTCGAAATACAACCGTGTCCAGAAAAGTAAATAAGAAAAGATATTTCAAAAAATTAAAACAATAACGTTTTAACTCCTTCTGTCCCAAGAAAGGTACTACATGTTATCAACTAGTGTTTGTGTGTATCAAACACCGTATGGTACATAATTACGTCTTTTACATTTGGCCCGAACATACAACGGAAACCAGGCCGGATATTCTAATATACAATACACCATGTGTCACCATTTTAAAATTAACATGCTAATGTTATTTCATTGTGTTTGTTATTCCGTTTGTGCGTCTTATTTAAAATCTTCTGGGATTGAAGGAGTTAAATGACACTGCATCACACAAGTCTGTACGTTTCTAAGTTATTCCATACACTATTACACACGCGCACACGCTCGTACACACGCACACAAGCAGTATAATCCTTACCCGCGAATGGCTGTAGGGTCCCTGATGGCACAACTTGGTGTAACCTTTACATGTGTCCTAATAAGGGGCGCAGCGTGGTCTCGAGTGCTGGAGGTCTCTAGGTAGTGAGATCTGACGCCCGTGTGTATTGTTGTGCACGTGAAAAATCTTTTGGCAGTTGGAAATCGATAAGAGTAGCCTAACGGCGCTGCCCGGGTAGAATCTGGAGCTCAAAATCTATCTTAAGTCTTTCAGGATCCTCGCTGGTGCTACGGAGTTCGCTCACTGTGCTAAGATTCTTTAGACTCAGGCTCAAGTCAAAAGTAGAACGGAGCACTTATAGGTTACTATCCTTGTGCCATGATGTTATTCCGTAGTATAAACGATACACCTAAACCTGTGTCCTTATAGTAACTTCCTTGAAGGTTGAATGGGATATTGATAATGTACCCTGTTGATTTGCTATCCAGAAGGCAACACTTTAATTCGCAGTGGGTGGCCAGACGTGTTGCAATCTGCAGAGAGAAAACAGACATAAGCCAGACCTCATTTTTATGGACACGAATTTGACTGATTTCTGAAGGAAAGGGCGACATACGAAGTAGCCGAATTCGTTTCTAAAAAGTTTTTTTTTTTTCTTTTCCATGTTTATATCTTCCTTTGGTTACTTTATCGAAAGTATGTGCTCGTGTGTTTGTGTGTGTGTGTGTGTATGCGGAGAAGTGGGGGAGGGTAAGTCTATAACCCGGGCCGCTGCTAAACTCGAGATGGCACCCCCAAAAATAAATCGTGGATGGAATCTTACCTAGTACCTTTGTCAGTGCTTTCTTAATATCCTGCCCCAAACAGGGAAAATCCACGGGTGTCGGGACAGTCTAATATTTCAGGGGGTGGTAGATAGGCTGCATGCAGTCGTGGAAACTAGGCTGCACTCTCTCATGGGACGTAGGTAGGTTGGGGTTAGGGCCAGTTCTAGATGTTTTGCGGTCTTTAAAAGCATCAGAAAGCCGGGAAACCCAGTCTTACTGCCCTCTAAAATGTTGGACTGTCCTGTGACGTCATCTGGGTAGGATAATACGAAAGAACCCTTTTGGTCTAATTTATGAACGTTCGTTTAGGGCAGCGGTTCTAAGCCTGTGAGTCGCGATCCCTTTGAGGGCCAAAAGAACTTTCAATAGGGGTCGCCTATAACCATGGGAAAACATATATTTACTGATGTTATGAAGTAGCGACGGAAACAATTGTATGTTTGAGGGTGACAACAACGTGAAGAACTGTATTAAAGGGTCGAGGTATTAGGAAGGCTGAGAACCACTAGTTCAATGATTATCTGCTCATTTCTTCTCATGATGTGTCTAACATAGCGTCATTTTCTTTGGCTTAAAACTGTTATTACCAATTGCTGTCCATACATTTTGCTTACTACTTCAGTCCTCTAAATTTCATCCCTTTTATATTTATCATTTTCCGCAGGCAACATTGTATAACAATAGCCTAAACCGAGGGAATTATTTAACAAAAAATTCTTATATAACACAGCGAAGCGCATGAATATAAGCCAAAGGAGACCTTTTTAATGCAAGAGACGCCTTAGCGTAGTTGGTTAAACCTGACTTCGCGGCGACCGGGTGACGAACTCCTTTTGGTCTGGGTTCACGCCCGGGGGTAGGCAGAAAAGCCAGATTCCTCCCCGATTTAGGGTATTTATCATGGAATCAAGGCCAAAAAGTTGCGATATAAATTATATCGAGCCAAAGGGTTAACAACTTATGGTTTCTAAATAAAATTTGGAAAAAAAAAAAAAATGCAAAAGATACGGATATAAGTGGCCCATCTTTCCTTAGAAAAGCAAACTTTGATTTTTCATTAAATATATAAAAATTTGTAGGATAATATTTTCCAAACAGACAGGTCTTTCAGTTCTTGCCTTGAAATTTAGCGGGAAGGCGACCGATGTCTCGTGTCCTCGGATAAGCCACAATAATACAGTGTCCACTTTTTGCGCGGTAATCCGTCATTTGAAAATGGATGTTTCGATTGATGGAAAGAAACTTAATTTGTAGTAGCAGTAGTTTTGTAGTAGTGGTGGTGGTGGTGGTGGTGGTAGTACTGGTAGTAGTAGTTTTAGTTATAGTATTAGTAGTTATAATAACAGTAGTAGTTGCAGTAGCAGTAGTTAAAATGAAAATGGTGGTGGTGGTAGTAGTAGTAGTAGTAGTTATAGTAGTTATATTAGTACTTATAATAATATTGGTGGTGGTAGTAGTAGTAGTAATAGTAGTAGTAGTAGCAGTAGTATTAGTAGTAGTAGTTAGTTAGTTAGTTGCGCATCCTTTACAGGACGTTGCAGAACCAACCCTAACAGCCCTTGGCTGTTGTGTGGTTTCTCTAGCCAATGTACATCCAGTAGTTTGCCATTGCTCCTGGACGGACGGCTTACTTGATACCACTGTCGAAACCAACGCATGGCGCATTGCCCGCAGCTGGGATCGAACCTAGAATCCCGGCATTACGAAGCGAAGCGTTCGCATCGACTTAGCCACAGAGCCGACAGTAATAGTAGTAGTAGTAGTAGTAATAGTAGTAGTAGTAATTATAGTAGTAGTATATATAATAATAATGACTGTAATAGTGGTTGTTGGTGTTGTAGTAGTAGTTGTAATAGTTTTAGTAGTAGTAACAGAAGTAATAATCATAATCGTAGTAGTAGTAGCAGTAGTAATCGTAGTAGTAGTAAGAGTAGTAATTATAGTTGTTGTTGTTGTCGTTGTTGTTGTTCTTCCTCTTCATGTAGTAATTGTAATTTTAGCAGCACTAGAAGTATTTGTAGTAATATAATTAGCGGTTTTAGTAGCAGTAGTTGTACTAACAGTAGCAGTAATGCTGGTAGCAACTACAACGTCTGCATAAGTAGTAGTAACAGCAGCAACACAGCAGTATCGGTAAAATAATAATACTAATAATAATAATAAATAAAAATAATGACGTGATGACGATGATAAAAATGGCGAAAAACGACGTGGAAAGTGATGAAGGTGATTCACAGCGGCACGAACAAAAAGACTTCAAAAATATCCAAGTACTGCGAATCTGGTTAAATCGGGATTATGCAAGTGAGTAAGTTAGTAGGTCAGAGCAAAGGAACCTTTTTACGTAAGCAGCATACATGGCGCATGATGCTAGATTCATAGTTTTTAAATACTAATCGGCACTCAGTGGGTGAGTTAGTCACCATCGAGTCTGCAGTCTTTACTTCGCAGAACGTTTCCTGATACCCAGGGCTGGATTTACATATACGCTAAAAAAAAAGAAACTACAGCTTAGTGTTTCACAATTTGCAAAGGCCTAAAATGTCTACTTTTTCCCACAAGTGCATTTAGGGGTGTTGGGAGGGGGGGGGGTGGGGGGGGGGGGGTTCAAAGTTGTAACATAAAGCCTTTTTGCAGGATTATCTAACACAATTTTTGTGATTTCGTAAACACGTTTCTTTCTTTTAATTATACTTATATTTAAGAGGCTTTTATATAATATTTTTTTCTGTATCAGCTGGTGTAATTTGAAACGTTTGGGTACTCAGTGATGAAGATATCTTAAACAGATAATCAGATATCGCTGAATAATTCAGTGTATACGTTTTTTTGTGTGTGACCCCTCTGACAACAAAAGTCTTAAGTGATTGTGTCTATCCCTAATTGTCTAAATGTTTGTGCCCATGTTCAGTAAATATGACGCTACCTATTATCTTCTTCTTCTTCTTATTCTTCTTCGCGTTCACCAGCTGTACACTCTGGCGTAAAGTTCTGGTTGTTGTCCACTTCTGGACTGCAGTCCTGCTCCAGAACCTGAGTGTTGCGTGTGCATCATTTTACAGTTCTGATTCAATTGAATGTAGACTGCTGGTTCCTTGCCTTTCAGGCAGATGCACTCCGACTTCAGAGGAAGCTCCCCAGTTAGTCGACTCTTACGACATGCTTTTGGGGAGGCAGTGGGTACATTCTTGTTTTCCCCACAATAGGGCCCCAGAACCCACACGGAAGGGGGGGGGGGGTACCTATTATGATGAACCTATTTATTTTCTTAACATGTTGTTAATCTGTTAAACTCGTGTAATATTATAAAAGGTGTATGTTTTTAAGTAGATGACAAAGTGTTACCGCCTCTTTCAATCCCAATCCCATAATCTTGCTAATACCCTGGTCTAAGCCGGTTCGGACTGGGAGCTAAGATGAATCTTGGGGAAAATACAAGAACTTCAGATTTTATACGGATTTGAACTCCAAATATTTGTATCGGCAGCTAAGAGTTGAATCATAGCCTTGAATAAAACAGCCAGTGTTGTTTTCTCTTTCCACGCAGGAAACATATTTGTCATTCTTGTTGTTCTACGTCATCGGCACATGCGCACTCTGACCAACGTGTTTTTCCTGAACCTGACGATTGGAGATTTCATGGTTACCTGTATTTGTATACCTGTCACCTTGGGTAGCTCTGTCTACAGGTGAGTCGCTCATCATCGTCGTCATCATCATCATCGTCACCATCATCATCGTCGTCATCATCATCGTCACCATTTATATCGTCATCTGCATCATCATCATCATAGTCGTCATCATCATCGTCACCATCATCATCGTCGTCATTATCATTATCGTCACCATCATCATCACCACCATCATCGTCGTTGTCACCATCACCACCATGATCGGCGTCACCATTATCACCATTATCGATATCATCATCATCATCGTCACCATTACCACCGCCACCATTACCACCACCATCATCATCATCATCATCACTACCATCATCGTCGTTGCCTTCATCGCCACCGTGACCAGCGTCACCATTATCACCATCATCAGTATCATCATCATGATTATCATAGTCGTCAACTTCATCATTATCGTCATCATCACCATATAGCGTGTTCACTTATGGGTACTGGGACCCGGGGCTTCAGACCCTCTTGAGATCCCCTTTTCATAAATATATTTGTAGGCGATGGCCGGGGAAAAAGGGGGGGGGGGGTGTCCATAGAAAACTAGGAACGGACTAACGGTACCTCCACATCATATTCCGGTTCAGGATAATTGTGTAGCGTTTACATGACGTTGCAGAACCAACCCCAGCAGTCCCTGGCTGTTGTGTGGTTTCTCTAGGCAAATTTACGTCCAGTAGTTTGTCATTGCTTCCTCGACGGTCGGCCCCCTGATACCAACGCAAGGCGCATGGCCCGCAGCTGGGTTCGAACCCGGCACCCCGGCATTATAAAGCGTTCGCATCGACTTAGCCACAGAGCCGACCCACAGCATATAAGTTCTCTTTTCAAATGCTACGTTTATACACGTCATATCATTTCAGATATTTTATTACACTTACCAGCCACGTAGTGCATTACATAGACGTGTGCATGCGCGCCCGCGCGTGTGTACACTGTCCACAAAAATAAATGCAACATATGACACTTCTTCTTCTTCTTCTTCTTCTTCTTCTTCTTCTTCTTCTTCTTCTTCTTCTTCTTCTTCTTCTTCTTCTTCTTCTTCTTCTTTTCTTCTTCTTCTTCTTCTTCCTCCTCCTCCTCCTCTTCTTCTTCTTCTTCTTCTTCTTCTTCTTCTTCTTCTTCTTCTTCTTCTTCTTCTTCTTCTTCTTCTTCTTCTTCTTCTTCTTCTTCTTCTTCTTCTTCTTCTTCTTCTTCTTCTTCTTCTTCTTCTTCTTCTTCTTCTTCTTCTTCTGTTGTCGTGTCACTAATACCAGGTTGTAGCCTAGTGTCGTGATACTTGCAAGTGAAACGAGACTTGCTGCTCGGATAAGACAAAACAGCCCTAAATGTTCTACTGATCATTGGATTCACTTGTGGATTGGAACTTCATTCACTTGTTAATCGTGAGCACGGGAAAACAAAGAATAGTAAAAAACAACATTTTTGTCAATAACTCGTGACTGGTTCACATGAGTCGCATGAAATAAGGTAAACACAAAACTCACTGACCCTGCTATTGAAAATATCTGTTAAATTGATTAATCAACAACTCCCTTCTTTGTAAGCAGACGGAATTTATTGTAAATTTGAAGTTACCCTGGTAGGTCACGTGACTATGGTGAGCTTCCGGCGGTCAAAAAACACACACGATGTGTCGGAAGAAACTATTCGCATTTCAGTTGGATTTATTCAGTTTTGTTCTTCATTTTATGTTGATATAACTCTGCAGTCACGCACCTGACGAGATACAGCGAAATATGTCTGGCAATAAATTGTGCAATGTATTGTTTGTGTCTGCATTTTTTAAATGAATAAAAGAGTCACGCTTTTTCGATCAGTTCAATTTAAAATTCCGTGAGAAGTTATGGCTTTCCTTACTACAGAACAACGACTCAACATCATTGGTCATTTACAGGCTGACCAATCATAAAGGGTAGTGGTCCGACAATGTAATGTGGTTAGTCAACTTTGGAAGTGATTTCAGAAAACTATCTCAGTGGCATACCGGCTGCGCAGTGGAAGACCAGTCACAACGCCTTACGAAGACTGCTTCATATGGCAACGTGAAAGGTAAAATAGGTAAAGTCTGGAGATGTGAACCAGCGGCATTACACGCGGTTATAAACCATAAGTGCTCTGCTTCCAGTACGGACAGCAGATAATAAACTGTTCGCTTGTGTCGCCGTACGCACGCAACTCCGTAGCTACAGCGACGTTCCTCCATTTACCTCAGAGTTTTAACTCTGGTATCCAACACCTAGAGGCTGGGTGAGCCCCAGGAACCGTCCTGTTTCGAACACCGGCCGTGTGATGCGGCGAAGCGCTGCTGGATTTGAAAGCGAGTCTCCTTTAAACTGCACTAACGCGGCCCCCATCGTATGGCAAAGTTACATCAGGAATGGATTGGTATCTGTGTGACCACACTCGACAATACCAGCACCTCGTCGCATTTCAGTTTAAACGGTCAGAAACCTGCTGTTTGAAGCTGGTCTTTGGGCTCGAAGACCTTGCAGGGAGCTTGGTCCTACACTCTGGCATCCCCCATTGACGATGATAGTGTAACCATAGTAATCCCCAGATCCGATCACAGTGGTTACACCAGCATCGTCAATGGATGGTTGTCAATAACTAAGATGGGTTTGGTTTAGTGACGAATAATTATCTTCTTCGGGGTCACGATAGACCGAAAAAGATTTACCGTAGAGTCCATGAGCGCTGAGCTAAGAACTCCATGGATGAGGCTTCCCCACAATGTGGTGAAGAGCTGACAGTTTCATGTGAAGAAGTGACCTGGTGCAGAGCCTGAATGCCCAGGGATACCTGGCTGAGATTATTCGTCGTCACGCCCATCCGATTCTGCCTGCACGAGGGTCGATTTTTTCAGCAGGATAACGTTGGACTTTATGTGGTACAACTCACAATCCATTTCGTGGCTGGCAACAAGATCCAGACCATACCGTGGTTGGCAACAAGATCCAGACCATATCGTGGCTGGCAACAAGATCCAGACCATACCGTGGTTGGCAACAAGATCCAGACCATACCGTGGTTGGCAACAAGATCCAGACCATACCGTGGCTGGCAACAAGATCCAGACCATACCGTGGTTGGCAACAAGATCCAGACCATACCGTGGTTGGCAACATGATCCAGACCATACCGTGGTTGGCAACAAGATCCAGACCATACCGTGGTTGGCAACAAGATCCAGACCATACCGTGGTTGGCAACAAGATCCAGACCATACCGTGGTTGGCAACAAGATCCAGACCATACCGTGGTTGGCAACAAGATCCAGACCATACCGTGGCTGGCAACAAGATCCAGATCATACCGTGGTTGGCAACAAGATCCAGACCATTCCGTGGCTGGCAACAGGATCCGGACCATACCGTGGTTGGCAACAAGATCCGGACCATACCGTGGTTGGCAACAAGATCCATACCATACCGTGGTTGGCAACAAGATCCAGACCATACCGTGGTTGGCAACAAGATCCAGACCATACCGTGGTTGGCAACAAGATCCAGATCATACCGTGGTTGGCAACAAGATCCAGACCATACCGTGGTTGGCAACAAGATCCAGATCATACCGTGGTTGGCAACAAGATCCAGACCATACCGTGGTTGGCAACAAGATCCAGACCATACCGTGGTTGGCAACAAGATCCAGACCATACCGTGGTTGGCAACAAGATCCAGATCATACCGTGGTTGGCAACAAGATCCAGACCATACCGTGGTTGGCAACAAGATCCAGACCATACCGTGGTTGGCAACAAGATCCAGATCATACCGTGGTTGGCAACAAGATCCAGATCATACCGTGGTTGGCAACAAGATCCAGACCATACCGTGGTTGGCAACAAGATCCAGACCAAACCGTGGCTGGCAACAAGATCCAGACCATACCGTGGTTGGCAACAAGATCCAGACCATTCCGTGGCCAGCTGTCCCGTCAGAATGAACACCCATTTAACACTTATGGGATGAACTCACGACAGACGAGTCTGTCAGCGAGACACGGCCCCAACCGGTCTCCAACTGTTGCCCGGACACAATTTGGAGTTGAAAATCTACCCAAAGTATTTTAGGACTCTCGCCGGTGCTGCGGAGTTCGTTGTTGCGTTTTTTAGGCAAATTGACGTCCAGTAGTTTGCCATTGCTTTCTGGACGGTCAGCTCTCGGTACTATTGTCGAAACCGGCGCACGACAAACTGTAGGGATCGAGCCCGGCCCCTCGGCATTACGAAGCGCGTTCTCAACGCCTAAGCCACAGAAGTCGACGGCACCTTGTCTACTAAAGTAAAATTGTGTCCGCTTAAACATTCTCATCCTGAACAAACTGTTTTTCAGAGCTAGGTTTTGAATTTAAATGTTAACAGCAGTTCTTTTAAGATTTCAAAATAATAGAAGGACCAATTTTATGTGCTCCAATTTCCACTCCGACTTTCATTATTTCGTTTTACTTGACAAACAGTATTGCAGCATTATTCTTGCATGCTCATCTATCCGGAAAGTACAAGAAACACGACTTTTGCTGTTTACGGATGTTTACGGAGATATCCAGCATACACGTAACTTCCCGAAATGACCGTCTCGAAGATGGAGTATAGATGAAGGACGTTTTTCCTCGCAAGGAAACAGTAATAGTTCAGTCTAGGAGAAAATTTAACGTGGCCCTGGAAGTGGATTAAGTGAGCAGCAAAAAAAGACAAATGGTGATTTTTTTCTTAACAACTCCGCTCTTACTTTTTCTGAATTCCAGGGAGATGTAATGGTTTTGTATCTGCCCGCCTCAAACATAGGCACATTGGTTTGTTGTGAGTTACTTTGTCTGGCACTGTCAGCATTGAGTGGGAATACATCCTATGTTTTCTAACAGATTTTATCTTTGTGCACATTGGGATTGTCTTATGTGTGTATATGTGTATACACACACATACGGCTAAAATGACCACACACACACACACACAAAATTAGTATATATATATATATATATATATATATATATATATATATATATATATATATATATATATATATATATATATATATATATATATATATATACTTTATTTTAACAACAGTTCATAGCAAAAAGCCAAACATGATTTAGTTTTCACGAGCAGATGGTACAGCAAGATGGTACAGTGTTGACCATCACATTAATATTTGGACTCTAAATCAGCAGTCGTTTGACTATAGTTTCCTCTACAGTCTTTGACACGTTGATGTATCGGATGTTTCTCTCCAGGTTCTTGTCAAAAGTGTTAAAATATTTTGGGGGGGGGGGGGGGGGGGTTCCCTCTTTCAATCACATTTTTAAAGTTGGTGGGGATGTGGTTAAGGGAAGGAGGGGGGGGGAGGATTTCCTCTATCAATCACATTTTTAAAGTTAGTGGGGATGTGGTTGAGGGAGAGTGAAAGGAGGGGGGGGGGGGGGTTTCAATCTGTTCAAGGGGACGTCACTTGAAACAATTTAGCAAACCCTGCATTCAAGAATCTGCAACGCCATCTGGTGTCGCTTTCTCCAGCAACCTGGATTATTCCTGATTATTTAAAAAAAATATTTATTTTTATCTGATTATTTTTTTTTTTTTTTTTCTGAATTGTTTTTAAAAAGGATAGTGTTCCATAAATGTTGGAGAATGTACAGGTATATTCGGTTGACAAAAATGATGTGCATCCTGAAAAAAAAAAAAAAAATGAACAAAAATGCAGCCTTCTGCTAATTTAAAAAAAAAAAAATTCAAGATGAACTGTTATTTGGATGGCATTTTCTCTCCTTTACAGTCGATCACATTATACTGTGCCGGTTACACTGAGAAATGGGACTCGTAGTCTGTGGCCATGTTTGAGGAGCGGGACTGTCATTCACACCTCAACCAGATATAGCTAGGGTGTCTGCCTCGAGTGCTAGAGGTGCCGGGTTCAATCCCCGATAAGGGCTCGAATTTTTTCACGTGGACTCGGACTTATAGTAATTCTAATTCCCCCTGGTTTCTAGGTAATGAGATAGGACGATCGGCAGTTGGAAATCGAAAAGAATAATCTAACGGCGCTGCCCGGGCAAAATTTGGAGTTGAAAATCTAATCAAAGTATTTCAGGATCCTCGCCTGTGCTACAGAGCTTGTGCACTGTGCTGAGCTTCTTCGGACAGCACTTATGGGTTACTATCAGTGTGCCATAATGTTGTTCAAACCTCAAAATTCAAACGGGATATAGTTTGGTTGGGGTAAAATAAAGGACAAGTTGCCGAAAATAACAGTACATTAAAAATGTGTGATGTTGAAGTTTTGACTAGTTCCTCTCAAGAATAGACATTCGGTGTCTGGAAAAAGTGTGTTGAACATGCGCACCGAGAGGAAGATGAGTACTCGCACCGACATGGGGTAGGAATTTGGGGTAGGATATTAATAAAACACCGAGGTCATAATAAAAATTAAAAAACATTTCAATAAGAAGTAGTATGGGCTATTGCCTCTGTTTTCTTTCTTTATTTGTTTATTTATTTTGTTGTGTTTGTTGTATGTGCGACTTGGTGAACCAACGTTTTTATGTTTCTCATTCGCAGTGACTGGATATTTGGAGAAGTCCTCTGCAAAGTGACGCCCTTTCTTCAGAGTACAGCAGTGGCCGTCAGCGTCTTCTCCATGCTATCCATATCCATCAACCGCTACTTCGCCATCCACATCCCCCTTCGCGCCAAAATTCTATTTTCCAAGTCAAGAGTCCACGTCATGCTGGCATCCATTTGGATATTAAGCTTCGGAACTTCCAGTCCCCTGCTGTTGGTTAAAACCGTGACCTCGTTTGGTGTTCCGGAAGTGTACATCGCCAGGTCATGCATGGAGAATTGGGGCAGCGAGTTATTGAGGCATGTCTACAGCGTCGTTATTTTCCTCATGCTGTTTTTGTTCCCTCTCATTGTTATATCAATTCTATATTTGAAGATATCAGTGGCCCTGTGGTCGAAAAACGCAGACCTTTACGATAACAACCGAAAACCGACATTCATGTCCCCACAAGTTGATCGGCTGTTGCTGCAAAGACGCAAAACCGTGCGAACATTGGTTCTGCTTGTCTTTCTGTTTGCTTGCTCTTGGCTGCCATATTACGTTGTCAATGCCTGGTTGGACTTCAATGTTAGGGGTGACCATGTTGGTGTTGTTATTGGCATGGTTTATCCCTTGGTTCAGCTGGTAGGGCTGTCCAACTCCAGTGTAAACCCTATTCTGTACTGCTTTCTGAGTAAAGGGTTCAGAAGAGCGTTCAAGAACATGTGCTGCCGGCGGACAGCCCGTACAAGGAACAGTATTGTCATGACAGTTAGGTACCGGTGTAGCGAGGATAGTGGGGTTGGCAGTGTGGAAACGGTGTTGGTCTAACACACAGGTTACCATTACATTACTCTTGTGTGTTAAATTTGATTTAAAACTTGGAATACGAAACTCACTATGTGTTGGTTTCTTCTTCTTTCTGTCTTCTTCTCCTTCTCCTCCACATCCTTCTTCTTCGTCTTCTGCTTCTTCTTCTTCTTCTTCTTTTTCTTCTTCTTCTTCTTTCTTCTTCTTCTTCTTCTTCTTCTTCTTCTTCTTCTTCTATTTCTTCTTCTTCTTCTTCTAATTATTATTATTATTTCCCCTCGTTACGCCCTTCCTCCTCCATCTCTTTATTATCCTCCTTCTCTTTATTTTCATCATTCTCTTTATCATCCTCCTTCTATTTTTTCTATCCTCCTCTTTATCCTTCTTTTTCTGTTTATCCTCTTCTTGCCCCTAATCATCCTCCTTCTCTTCATCCTCCTCCTCTTTCTCTTTATCGTCCTCGTTCTTTTCATCCTTCTCGTTTTTTTCTTTATCCTCATCCTCGTTCTCTTCATCCTTCTCATCTTTCTCTTTATTCGCATCCTTTTCTTTACCCACCTCTCCTCTCCTCTTTATCCTTCCCCCTATTTTCCTCATTCTCTGTATCCTCCCCCTTCTCTTTATTTCTTCCCTTTTCTCTGTATCCTCATTCTTTTTATTCTCCCCCTCCTTCTTTTTATTCTAATCGTCTGTATCCTCCTCTCCCTCTTTATCGTCCTCGCTTCCCCTAATGCTTATTGTAACTTATGTTGACCATAGAGGTGGGTATTTCCCCTCGTTACGCCCTTCCTCCTCCATCTCTTTATTATCCTCCTTCTCTTTATTTTCATCATTCTCTTTATCATCCTTCTTCTATTTTTTCTATCCTCCTCTTTATCCTTCTTTTTCTGTTTATCCTCTTCTTGCCCCTAATCATCCTCCTTCTCTTCATCCTCCTCCTCTTTCTCTTTATCGTCCTCGTTCTTTTCATCCTTCTCGTTTTTTTCTTTATCCTCATCCTCGTTCTCTTCATCCTTCTCATCTTTCTCTTTATTCGCATCCTTTTCTTTACCCACCTCTCCTCTCCTCTTTATCCTTCCCCCTATTTTCCTCATTCTCTGTATCCTCCCCCTTCTCTTTATTTCTTCCTTTTTCTCTGTATCCTCATTCTTTTTATTCTCCCCCTCCTTCTTTTTATTCTAATCGTCTGTATCCTCCTCTCCCTCTTTATCGTCCTCGCTTCCCCTAATGCTTATTGTAACTTATGTTGACCATAAGTATTATTACCTGAACCCCTTGAAACCCGGGCACGTCTTTTTCTAAGTAACATGTTTAGTTAGGACATAAAGAGTGAAGGTATTGTTTAACTGGGAGTGACAGTTTAAAAGAAGCATAAAGTAAATTGTTTAACTGTGAGTGACAGTTTAAAAGAAGCATAAAGTAATTGTTTAACTGGGAGTGACAGTTTAAAAGAAGCATAAAGTAATTGTTTAACTGGGAGTGACAGTTTAAAAGAAGCATAAAGTAATTGTTTAACTGGGAGTGACAGTTTAAAAGAAGCATAAAGTAATTGTTTAACTGGGAGTGACAGTTTAAAAGAAGCATAAAGTAATTGTTTAACTGGGAGTGACAGTTTAAAAGAAGCATAAAGTCACATTTGGCGGGTTGTTAGAAAAGTGTGTGACATGTCAACATGGACCAGTAAACGTTTGGTATGCTGACTGGTTGTGAATGAGTTAACTTCTCTATTTCCTCCATTGACGTGATTATCATTGTGAGTATCTGTGTATGTATTTCTTCTGTTATTTCAACAGAATCAAGGATTTTTTCTGCGGTGCTGGTTCAGGCATCAATACCTTGGATAAAGACAAGAAGAAATACTGACATTTTAACAGATCTGAACGTGAAGGAAGATTGGATAATAAACAGCATCCTGTCTCGGAAACTGAACTATTTTGGTCTAATCAAGCGCCATGGCGGAGTAAAAACAAAAAAATAGCAGAAGAAGGAGCAAGAGCCGACCAACACGAAGATGGGCGAAGGATATAAGTAACTCCTTGAATGTGAAAGTACACGAGGTGGGAGAGCTGGCGAGAGACCGAGTTTCTTTTAGGCAGACCGTGATAAGAGCGACGTTCTGCAAACGAACTGCTACACGATGTCGATAATGCAGGTTCCGAGGATCCCTTTTCAAGTGGATTGGCGGGAAAGTGGGTAGGGGGGATGGCGCACTGCCCCTGACAAGCATACCATAGACGACTTATTAGGCGTTTTCTGAGATGCATGTGTATTGTATATGTTGCGACATATTACTTACAGTAATATCATGGTATCGTGACAGTGTGATAAATAGCATAATATGATATGATACTGTTCTAACGTCTTGATAAATGTTATATTATGACTTTGAATATGTGATAAAATATCTTTATAAATGTAATAATGTGCTGTTATGTGTGATACTGCGTTGACTTCAGCTAGGACAGATTATAAATGACAGGCTGTAAGAACCAGTTCACCGAGTTTACCAAGAAATCAACATAGAGATAGGTAAGGCTGCGAAAACAATGAGCAGATTAACAAATAAAAAAGAGAGTTCGGGAGAACAGAAAGCTCACATTAAAACAAAAACTCTTGTCTGTCAGGCTTATGTTCTCCGCATACTGCGCTATGGCAGTGACATTTGGCCAACGTATTTGCACCTGGAAAAACAGCTAAATAGCTTTCAGGTGCGATGCATAAATAGAATACTTGACATTATGTGGCAGGACTTGATCACACATATTGAGTTATTGGAAAGAGCAGGTATTACCGCATTACAGCAGTCTTCTCAATGCTCAGTCCACGAAGGTCAGGGTGGCTTGGTCATACCTGGAGAATTAAGGATGGCAGAGTCAATAAGGACATTCTCTATGGTGAATTACAGATGGGTATAAGATGTCGAGCTCGACTTCTACTACGATAGAACTATGCGTGTAAGCGGGACATGAATGATACAGGTACTGAGCTGGATTTGTGGAAACAAAATGCCATAAACTGTTTTGCGTGGAGGGGCAAATCAGGAAGGGAATGAGAATAACGGAAGAAATAATTGCACAATGGAAGAGAGCTAAGCGTCTGAGAAGAAACACACTAATCACACATGATGGCGGCAACCATCATGAAATCTGACGCTTTCTTTCTAGAAAACGTCTGAACATCCTGCTCATCGCACTCACCCTCACCATGGGTGGTGAGTCTCGTGTCTCCTCACATCCTAATATCGTTTGGAAAGGCGGAAAGATGCTAGCAAGTGTTGACTTCGAACAAGGTATGTGAGCCGACCGTTTCGGATCAGTGGCAAGCTACTGAATCTAACATGTCACGTGAAACAACAGACACAGTACGCCTTTGTTGGTTCTGCGACGTCCTGTAAATGATACACAACTAACTTTTTTCTTAAAATGTGTGGTAATGCCACCCGGTGAAAGATACTGCATCGGCGACTGGGTGGCACATCGGCTCGGGGGTAGACGATGTCGCCGCCGGTCGGGATAGTATTTTAGGCCTGTCTGGTGTGATAACATCAACACTTCAGGATTGCCTTTCACGGCTCTTGGTAGCCTGCAGGGCTAAGCTATTTTATATGGCGCACTTAATCTAGTCACAATTATAACCTAGAGCACCCCCTTCGGGAATGCTGATTAACATGACGATATTTTCCCCAGCAAAGCACCTAACTACTTTACTGTAACACAACAATATGATTCTCCTCCTCCTCCTTCTCCCTTTCATGTCTTCCTCCTCCGTCACTTTCTTCCTATTCTTCTATTCTACTTCTCTGTTATCCCTTAAAATGACGACTGGCTCACTTGGTTTGAGGGGGGGGGGGGGGGAGGGGGGGGGGGGGGTTAGTCAGGCTGCAATATCTGGGCCTTTCTTTCCAACAAATCCAATTTCAGAAAACCCATAATTATTGGCCTTTTACGACATGCCATTGAAGACCCCTCCCCCCTCCCTCCCCACCCTCGCGACTGTAGAGCCATAGAACTAACACGATGACTTCAAACGAAAATTACACAACAATACATTAATAATTAATTTCTCCAAGTCATCATTGCCGTAGGAAGGGAATGCAGAGTGTGGGGTAACAGAGTGACATAATTAGAGGTACTACAATTGGAATGCCGGGTTCTGTTCATCGTGGTGAAACAGCTGGCTGCTATTTCTCTGCTAGACTGAAAACGAAAGTCATGGCAGAATTTTTTTTTTCAAAATCTATGTCAGCATGAGAATATAGGTGGAGGCAGTCACTGCAGCTCTAAAATGGATGGCTGAACTTTGACTGACTAGTGGAATAACAGTGTCTGATTCTTAGTCAGTATTGCACAAAGTTCACAATAGAAAACTGGCAGGAGTGAATACAAAGAGAAAGGGGGAAAAAGGGGAAGGGGGCTCTACTTGACACTAACATACAACCGATACACCACGGGCGTACGGGGGGGGGGGGGGGGAGGGAGAGTTCTCTACTTGACACTAACATACAACCGATACACCACGGGCGTACGGGGGGGGGGGGGGGGTTTCTCTACTTGACACTAACATACAACCGATACACCACAGGCGTACGGGGGGGGGGGGGGGAGTTCTCTACTTGAAACTAACATACAACCGATACACCACGGGCGTACAAAAGGGAGGGGGGGAGAAGAGTCCTCTAGTTGACACTAACATACAACCGATACACCACGGGCGTACAAAAAGAGGGGGGGGGGAAGACCTGTTGTTGACACTAACATACAACTGATACACCACGGGCGTACAAAAAGGGGGGGGGGGAGAGTCCTCTAGTTGACACTAACATACAACCGATACACCACAGGCGTACAAAAACGGGGGGGGGGGGGTGTCCTCTAGTTGACACTAACATACAACTGATACACCACGGGCGTACAAAAGAGGGGGGGGGGTGGAGAGTCCTCTAGTTGACACTAACATACACCCGATACACCACGAGCGTACAAGGGGAGAGTTCTCTACTTGACACTAACATACAACTGGTA